GGGGCGGGGCGGGGCCGTCAGCAGGGAGAGGAGACCTACACAGCTCGAAGCAGCACTAGGAGAAGGAGCGCCCCTTCCTCGGACTTCTACGTGAAACACGGACTTGATTCTTACCGAAACCATGTACGAGGACCAAGAGTCCGCTCAGCACAGACGGCGCGAACCTGCAGCCAGCCTTGGGGTCACCCGTGTGCGGCTCCCGTGCAGTGACCTCTGGACGGGCACACCCATGTGTGGGCCCTGAATGCAAACCCCGACAGAAGGGGCTGGGCCTTCCACAGCCGGGCCACTACCTGGCTGCTGAGGGCAGGCTCCGTGGCCCTGAGCAGCGGCCTCCCACCACCAGAGCCACCACCGGCTGACCGCTCCTAGCCCCAGTGCATAGGTCCTATGAAACTTGTCCGACAAAGCCCCCGCGGAGAGGAGTGTACTCCGAGACATGGACATGGCTCCCGGCAATGGGAGAATGAGATTCCACTTGTGCTTCACTGGCCAGCGACACACAGGGACGAGGCGGCAGGAGGCGCGAGCGGCAGTGTGAGCGCACCATCCCCGCGCGGCACAGCACGCAGCAGCCTGGTACTGTCTACCGCGCAGTCCTGTATTGAGCACTAAGAACCACGCGAGGCGGTGCAATCTCCAGGCTCCGACACACTCTTTGATACGCTAAACAGATCACAAGAAGCACCCCACAGTCAATAAAATGAAAAACAGCATCTAGCTAGCACATTAATACTGCAAACCAGATATATATATTCTTACATTAAAGACATTAACAGTGAAAAGGATTGTACTGTACTTATCACCGCAGACCCGTATTCTTCAGAAACTTTGGAAAATAAATGTCACAGTCCTCTAGGACAAGTCTCATGATTAGGCTGTCGGTATATTGTCTTTTTTCCTCTCTTAAATAAATTTTTATTAAAATGGCACTTGTCTGCCAATCTCTCTGGACCTGCAAATGTTGTAAACACATTGGCCCATCCTGCCACTGCCCCTGGTGCTGGCCGAGGGGGAGGCGGGCAGTGGCAGAACGAAACGCCGCCCACACCGCGGCACGGCTGCCCACCCTGCCCGGAGAGCCGTGGGAGCCACGCCAGGAGCGCGAGCATCACTTGGAAATCGACTTTAGTGACAACGTCAAAATGTTCAAGGCTTTAAAACCACATTGTGTTCTGTGTTGCTTTCACCATCAGAGAACGTTCACAGCTAGTTTGAGCCCATCAACTTCATAGAGAATCATGTGTTAAAAACAAGGAAATTGAATGACCAAATAAATTAAAAATGTTTTAAAGCCCTGAGTTCAAGACTGGTTTTAGGAGATATTTTAGAAAACACGGGACTCTGTTTCAATAAGCAGCTTCTAGATCTTGGCAAACCCTATTCCCTATGACAGTGGGGTCTCACACAGGTCTGCAGTCCTGAACCCAAGTCTGCGATCTGGGACGGAAGGCATTCTGGGAAACGGAGCCTGGCAGATCGATGGCGTCTCGTGTTCGATGCTGGC